GCTTCTCAGGAACCGATCTTGGCTTTTTGAGCCCATATAATGTTGTACTATTTTTCTTCCCAAAAGTAAAAAAAAAAATTATTTTGTAAAATTTGTATAGTTATAAAAACACCACTTCACCGGGCATTGTATATCCTAATTAATTATTCCTTTTGAAAATTTTCATTTTATTTACTCTTATTTTACTTCATTAGTCGATGTGAATGTTTACCAATAAGAATCTCATTTTCCATACTCTTCCTAGTTTACAATTTGCGCTTTTGATCTCATTTAAAATCTCAAGATCTTAAGATTTTATTTTTTTAAATAGGCCATTGTGAATGACAGACTAAAGTAGATCAGCCGGTGAAAATTTAACGCGGATTTAATATTCACGAAATGTATCGAGCGGTGGCGAGGAGCGTGTATTTACAATTTACATGCAATAAGCGGCACACGCTGTGTGTAACTTATATTGGGACGTGGCGCACAGTCAGCCCGGCCGACTCTTGATCTGCATACAAAATTTGTGGCGAAAATAAATACACACACACGCATGCGAGAGAGAAATATGCAGAGACACACAAGCCTTTTGCAGCAGCGAGGCGAGAGTGAATTGATAAAGCCGAGGTGGGAGCTGCGGCGGCGGCGGGATATTGAATTGTAAGCTCACTCTCGCCTCGCGAAACAAAATATGTGTGTATGTCAGAGCAGAGCTCATGCATTCATGCATCTCGTGTGTTGAAAAGCAATCGAGCTGCATGCATAAAACTGCTTCCACACACAAGTGTTTAGTGAAAAGCTACCCGGTTTGTAAACGGCTCATGCAATTCATGCAAAATTTTCAGTGTCGCAGAAAAAGTGCAAGGCTCAAACGAAGAGAAATTAACAGGAACAGTTTTTTAAATTAAAGTTAATTCTAATATTTGTTGCAGCAGCTTTTTGTAAAAGAATATTCTTATCAATTATTTTATTATATTTTCTCTGTAAATTGATGTTTAAAACATTATTATGGGAATTTAATTTTTTTAATTTGTTTGTAACATTGCAAATTTTATTAAAATGGAAAAAGAACGAAGATTAAAAAAAAAAACGTAAAACAAAATTACAATTGTATATTATTATAAAAGTTAAAATATATACAACTAGAAAGTCGGTACAATAGTTCTAAAAGAATATAACTGGATATAAATGGATTGGAACCTTCACCGTGAAAGAGAAATTATTTTGTGTGATTTATTATTGAATTAAGGTCTTAAAGCTGAAATAACGCCAGCAGAATTTAATTCATAGCACAAAGCTACGATTTTCTAAACAGTGGTGTTTTGTTATTACGGTTATTACAATAAAAATCAACCTAGATTCAAAGCGCTTCTGGCGACCCTTCCCAGTACTTGACAAGTGAATCTGGACAGTTCGGATCGAGTTAGAAATATTATTTCGTGCAAAAATACAGCGGAGCGAGATAATGCAACTTGCAACTCGCGAGTCCGTCCTTTGTGTTTGTGAGCACATTACTCTCTTGGCTGCTTGAAGGCGCCAACGAATAACTGCAAGACCGTCAAACTTTTGCCCTTTCGAATGCAAATCTCAAGAAACCACTCTTGCACCACACGTATGTCAAGACCGTCTGTAAACACCACATCCTCCGACGTATACGCGATGAGGAAGCTGGAAACTTCTGGTTCAAGGTGCATCTATCTTGAATTCATGCGATTTTACCAAAGGCAACGTGCGCCGCAGTTTGCAAATATTTGCTTTGAAAAGTTTGCGCGGTGCTTGATTTGAAAAGAGACTGGAGCGTATGTGGAAGCGGCGTAATCAAAGGGAAATATTGGCCGTGAATCAATTTGCCACTTTCCATATACTGACTTTAGCATATGGATGAAAATTCAATATGCAGGTAGAGTTTTGCCTTGATAACAAAAAAAGTAAATTATCAGTTAATCAAAAATATTTGTTAAAAATAAAATTTAATTTTGTTTTTTTGTGACAGAATTTAGCTTTTAAGATTAGATCGTATTTATTTTATTTATTGTATCTTTTGGAACTCACAGCTTTCAGCAAAAATGAATATATTGAAAAAGTTAATAAATGCTTTCAAATAAAACTAAATTTTGTTTAATTTTTGTTGAAATTACAGAAACTTAGTCACTTTATTATCTAGTTTTGGAACAAAATAGTCGATTTTTGAAAATTAGGATTATTTGAAATAAAATATAATAAATCTATTTTTAACCCATTCTTATACCAATAGTTTATCATCAAATTTCAATCTTTTCTTTTCATTTGCTAACCATAAACTATTAATTATCACTTTGTTATGTTATTATGAGTGATACAGCCGAATAATGTGTTAAAACCACGTTGATGCATTATTAATTATTGGTTGATTAAAACATTTTGAATATATTTCGCCAATAATAATCAACTAAAAATCTTCATATAAAAATACAAATTGTAGGGGAGTGAAACTTGAATGGAGATCTCGTGGAAACCCCTTTCGGGAATTGTGCAGTTTTTTCGAGATCGGGGATCGAGGGACGGAACCGTGGGTTGTCGGCCAGGTGCGTCGGCGGCGATAAGCGGGCCAAATTAAGGGTGATCGGAGGTGACGTCAGCCGGTGGCATGCGGCGGCGGCGGCGGCAGGTTTGGTCGGGACGGTGCCTGCGCTGCTCTGGGGTTGCCATGGAAACCCTGGTGTGCCCAGGCCGGCTCTCTGGAGCGCGCGAGCAGTGTGTCGAGAGAAAGGGTAGAGGTGCACACGGCCAGCTCGAGCAGCGCCACACACAGTCAGTCAGTAAAGCCATCCGGCCGGGACACTTTCTACCCTTCTTCGTGAGCAGCCATGCAGGCCAGCACCAGCGGCGGCAACAACCGGGGCGGCGACGTCGAGGGCAAGAACGGCGACGAGGACGAAGAGGTAAGAATTTGATAATATAATTGCTCCCGGGGGATTATTTTCGGCGCACTGGGCGCTCTCTGGAATATGGCGGTTGCCGTTCACGTCTCATCCGGGATCATCATTTTTCGATACATTCATTTGATGATTTTTAAATCTAAAGACTGAAAACCTGTTGTTAAGTATGACTTTTTAAGTTGATATCAATCGAACCTTGATCATTAAATTGTGTGCATAACAAAATTTTTTAAGTTGTTTTATTTAAATAGTCAAAATATTAAATTCCTTTAAATAACTGATACACATTTTATATACGCATTTGTTCATGGTTTCTCATCGTTTTTCTTTGTTACAATAAATTCACTTTTCTCCCTTATTTTCAATTTTGCAATTACGATTAAAATACTCAATCAACCATTTTTTTTTAAATATTTAATGTGAAAACATTTTGTGAATGTTTAAATATTATTACTGTTTACGAAGTTGCAAATAATTATTATAGAGCTAAAATTCATATATTTAGCACAAAATATGATTTAATATGATTGAGAAAAGAAAATTAATGTTAATGTTATTGTGAATACATAATTGAATTTGTGTCATGTTTCTGATTATACAAAAGAATTAATAAAACAAAGCTCAAGTTCCAGGCCAGGACAATGCACATGCACAATTCTTTTTAAATGAAATTACATGACATAATTGTTGGCTTATAGCATAATTTATAACTTTTGTGTTTTAGTTTATAAAAAACCAACATAAAATAAAGTAAATAAATTTATCTTGACTGCTAACAAATACAGACATATAGTTGTTTATTAAATAAATTTATATAATTGTTAAATATATAAAATAAAAATAAAATGAAATTGCCTATTTCGTTTTAAAATATAAATTTGTTTGCAAATATTTTTTTATTAAAATTCATTACAGTTTAAATTAAAAAACAGTTATTGCTGTTCAAAAACCAACCAGAGCCAAATGAAAAGTTTTTTTTATTTGTTGTTATGAAAAATGCTTTTGTTCCACTCATTTTATATAAAACATTCATCGTTCCTAAGTTCAGTAAGATATTGGAAGGTATTTAAATTATCAAGAATGCACACATCTGTAGGTTATAAATATTCAAGGGATTTAATAAAATATTTTTGAATTTCTCTCCATTATGTGAATTTACCAATATTGAAAGTGATTGAAATAAAATATGCATTTTTTTATATTAATAATGCTATTAATGTAACTTATCTTTGTAGCAACATAATAAAATAATACAAGTTTGTTTTTTCCAACGACCTTTGGGGTACACGCATTTGATAGAATAATTAAAACAGTTCATTTAGAAAATAACACGTTATTATAATTACAAGGCTTGTATGTAAGAAAATCCCTCATTTTGTCACGTTAGAAAAGACCTTTACATTCATGTTTGTTGTGAAAAAGCAAAGTTTTCTATTAAAGCTGCTTTTGTTCATTACAATAATTAGCACCATAGCGCTCTACACCGTGATGGAAAATTGCACTTGTATGGAAAACTGATAGTAAGAGGCTTGCTGATGTTTTTGAACCAGAGCCAAGAGCAAGCACAGCATCACAAACGTTTCTAAAAATATGAAATCATGACTTTTATTCAAACACGTACACAGTCAACCCCCGCAGCAGTAGCGGCGGTCGCGCTTGTTTTCGCGCAGAAAGCATCGATTTTCACTAAATCTGATAATCGCCCAACTTTTGCCGCGCGCAGGTGAGTTTTTCTACACTCGGCACTCACTCTCCAGACCAAGATGTGCCGGCGATAAATTAGAAAACTTTTGCGCCGACCGAATTGTTAATAATCCACTCGATCGCACACTTTATTTTTCTCTCGGAGCCTAATTGCGTGTGCGAGTGCCGTAATTTTTATTAACTTGTCTCGGACCAACTTTTCCGTCTTTTCCACATCTTTGGTCTTTATTTTTATTAATTGGAAAGAGAGCGAGTCGTTAGTTTTGCCGCAGTCCCGGCAGAAAGCGTGCAGGTACATGGGACGGTTGATTTGGATGATGGCCAATGGGGCGCCGGCGAAAAAGTCTCTTTTGTCTTGTTTACGACCGGGGGGCCGACGCAGAGGAGTTTCCAAACTTGCGGCCTGCGTCTCAAAGTCAATTAGGCGCGCGCGCTGACTTTACACACGCACGGGCCACAAACAGCATAAACGCAGTCGTGTGTCAGCGCAAGTCTCTTTCCGAAATTGAGCAAAGTTTGGCCGTTCCGAAAAAGGGAGAGAAAGCAGTCAAAAAGTGCCATGTAAGGGAATTGCCAATGATATTTACTGGATTGCGATTGAAGCTCACGGTTAGTGAAATTAAGCTTGACCACCTATTTTATGAGTGCACAAATCGTAAATTGAATACTTAAAGAGGACCGACCTCGTTTTGGATTGATTATAATGTTCAATTTTTTTCTTACACAACATGACAATACCACAAAGCTGCAATACCGTCTTTCAAAAATTAACGATATAGAAGAAATATTGATATAAAAGGTTAATTTTCTACAAATTTATTATTTATTTATTTTTTTTCATTTAGTTCTAGACATGCCTTTTCATTTGATCAATGATAATTAACAATTTTTATCTATATCATGAATGTAACTTTTATTCCATCTTAATTATTTATATAAAGTAATTCATTTCAATAATCCTAGTTAAAATCGTTGATATCATCTTATACGAGGAATCATATTTTCTGCGTACCACAGAATTAAACATTGATTTTGAATATCATATTTAAAATTTGAAAAAAATTAAAATGGCGATAGAGTTCATGAATTTAAAGAAAATATTCTTAAGGATGAGCGCAAGTTTTATTTTAATAACTTCTAAAGTTTATAAATTCAATTAATAACTTGATCTGATCGGATTCTATAGAGAATATTAAATTTTTGCCGAGCTGTTCCACCTTTGCAGACGTAGAAAGGCAGAACTTCTGCTCATGAACAACTTTCTCCGGTTCTCGAAAGATATGCACCCGGCATGAAAGTTACCTCCCTGTGGACCCATTAAAATTAATACTTTCTCGCGCTCTCGTCGATTGTTACTGCCCTGGACGATTTTATGGGCAATTAAACGATGAGCCGGAAAGTTCCGCTCTTTCAACTGCAGCCAAGTCAATCAATGTTGATTTTCGGTGCCTGTGCTGCACACCTAGGCTGCTCTCTCTCTCGCCTCTTCTGCTTTCTCGCTTTCGCCCGGCAGATTGATATAGCTGCAAAGCCTGGCTGCTCGCCGGGATGAAAGTAAACGCGCGTCTCTGCTTTTGCAAACTTTTCAACTTCTCTCTGCCGTGTCTGTGAAAAGATCCGCATCTCTCTTGACACACTCAGGGAGCGCGCGCCGGCTTAAAAGAGCTCCTCTGCGCTTTTTCTGATTGCCAGCCGAGGTGCTGCTGAAAATTTTATTCAATTTTGATAAAAGGAAGAAGCATTTCTTTGACGGGCTTGTGACGAGGCTTAATTAGAAACGTGCTTTCTCTCATCTGGTACCAAAACAGTTCCACCCCAACTCTTTTTGTGTAATAATAATTTCCGGCTTTCCGCCTCAAATTTAAACAAGAGAGGGTTGTTTTATAATTGCATCCAGGCTGCGATGTAATTAAAAAAAGACTCTGGTGATTTATGTACGGACAAATTGGACCAGAGTGGAGATTTTCATTTCTGTAAGCCATTCTTTGGAGATAAAACAATTATAAGAAGTTGGTTCATTATTTATTTTCTTAGGTCAGTGGAACTAAAAATGAGAAAGTTATAAGTATGTGTGTTGATTTATTATGGCATCAACAATGACTCGCGAATCAAGCTTTAATATGAGCAAGACTGGAGATTTTTTCTGCAAGCTCTTCTTGTGAAATTAAATATTAATAAAAATAAAAATTTCCTTTTTTATCTGGAAGATTAATTAAAAGTCATATCAATTATCTTTAATCGGGGCAATCGAAATGTAAAAATTGGTTTTATCTGTAAACTGTACAAAAGATAATTTAAAAAAAAAAACATACTGGCTGGCTGGCCGAATAATGACAAATTAAATTAATATTTTTTACGTCTACTTCCATCCTTTTTCAATCTCAATCAAACATGCAAATTGAACAAAGGCTATGCTATAATATTTCTCTCGGAATGACATTTTGAACGTATTATTTCACATATCAGATCAGGGCCGACATGACCGCAAGAGACTAATCTTTCTCTGTGCAAGGGCAAATCGCCATTGCGCACCCATGTCGGTGGCGGGCAGACGTATAAGAGCGATTTCGGCGCGTGAAATGAAGTTTGCGAGACGCAATTCGAGCAGAAGAGCGGCCGCAAATGTGCGGTTTCACGGCTCAAGCTCCCTCATCTCGGCGGCCGGGTTTTTGAAACAATGTCGGCCGTGATTGTGCCTCTCTTGCAGGGTCTTATACGCGTTTTACTTGCACCCGCCAGCGCTCTCATGAATAACCTGCACATACCCTGCTACGGGCCTTTTGTTATGCAAATGCACACATACACACGCCTGTTCGCAAATCCGCACACTCGACCACCCGCTCCTTGTAATGAATAAGGATGACCAGCGGCTCGCCAAAATAAATTAATCTTTCAAGGAATGAATGCATATTGCATAATATATATTAAAAAGAAATTCAAAATTCTTAAAACCAAAGTTTTAGACTCCAAAAAATCATGGAAATGAATAGATTGGGCTTTTCCTCGTTGCAATTTTTCTGCAAGGAGGAAAAAGCCCGATCTCTTCATTTCCATGATCATCTCCTCGAGTGTCAACTTCTTCAAACAAATCCAAAGAAATCGTTCACCTTATTCAGCAAAATGGCAATTGATACTTTATAATGGAAATGAACCCTTCGTATTTAAGTGAATATAAATTTAATTTATTGATACATTTTGTGTTAATTAAAATGATAACCAAAAAATAGGGTCAGCGAGGATTTGTATTTTAGCTACCTATTGAGAACTTACTGTAATGTGCCAACAAAGACATTGAAAATATATACCATTTTGAATTTCAATTTGTGTTATCAGGGGGATCTTATGAGCATATTATCTAAAATTTCCAATAAAAAATTTTCTCTTTTAGAAACTAGAATAAAATATATCTATTATGTTAAAAAGGATAATTAAAGAAAATGTAAAATAAATAAATTTATAATCATTGATGATAGAATAAAATAACAGCAAGTAAATATAAAAGTTTAATGATAAAGGTTAAGTCACATACTTACATATTGCAACAAAAGATTAGATCAAGCTAAAAAACCTGCCATAAAATTTTCTTTTCCAATAAAAATAAAATAAAATTCATGTGTGAGTTCAGAAGAGGACGAACTATGTTTTATTCTTCATAAAAAAGACTGGTTTTTATTGTGGCGCCGCAATGCAAGAGAGTTGACCGATATTTGCGGTTCATTCTCAGCCAACGTTTTAGCCTCTGATGGAGAAAAGACTGCGGTCTCGGCTTGCGAAAAACGTGCCGGTGAGCAGGCGTGTTTGCATGATTTGCTATTCTGAGAGGTGCGCGCGAGTTTTGAGTGCCCGTGCAGAGAGCAGAGAAGTCGAGCAATATGCTAATATTACACGATCCTCCTTCGCCGCCGTGTTTATCCGGCCGGAAAAACCTTGCGAAAATAATAAAAATTCCAACTCGATTTTTCTTTAATGTGATTATAACAGTTTTTCATCAAAGCCGCGGCACTTTGACGGGGAACATCAAAGCGCACGTCTAATGCAGCCCTCTCGTTTTATATTATTCAACAATAAAATGCACCACAAACACATCCGAGCTTATCAACGCGGTTGGTTAACGCTCTCTAAAATTTGTTACGTCAGTTCATGCACATTTATTGTGTGTGCATCGATTTGCGCCCGCGGTGGCGCGCGCTGAATTATGCGCGAGTGAATTTTTAATTGATCGGAGCGGCGCAAAACCAACATGAAAGTGCACCAGGGGTTTCATGTTGGCAGCCGTCACACCGCGCGTTGCTCAATCCCTCGGGGAGTGTGGATCAATTCCAACGGGATAATTTAAAGAGGACTTTTGCTAAAAAATTTGCTCGCAAATTCAAACTTAGGAGAATTTGTACTTTAATTAGTTAGAAACGCTGTGACTGACGTTTTAATCTGACAAAAATTGGTTCTTATTGTTAATTATAAATAGAAACCAAGCACGGCCAACAAGTAATTAAAATATAACTTATTAATCCACTGCATTAAGCCAATCTTTAATTATTGTTTTATTTATTTGTAATTTTCAGTCTATTTAATTGGGAATCCAAATCAATCTTGCTCACCTCAATAAAAGTTATGTACTTTTTTTAATATTATTTCACTACTTTTTGCACATATTACTGTATTTTGTACAGATTATAATTACCTTGGTGCAAAAACGTATTCTCATAAAAAAAATGCCGAACTTTTAGGATGCAAATTTAGTTAAAAGAGACCAAGTTAAGTCATTTTCAAACAAAAGATATTAAAACTTAATTCTAATTTTTGTTCTAAAATATAATAATTGCACTAATTTCATTAAAGACAAGGCAGAAGAGGATTTTTTATTTATTAAATAACGTTTGCTTGTCATTTGAATTTTTATATTTGAATTGAAAAATTAAATTAAATTCTGAAAGAAAATGTCATAAACCACTTCAAAGTCTTAACGAATATCAAAATATCCAAAAATATCTAGACACAACACGAAAAAATATTATATTTTCGTTTTTAGCGATTTCTAGTCTTGCATATTATTAAAAATCACAAAGAAATATAAATATCCAAAAGTCAGAATAAATTTGTAGGAATCGAATTAGGTGTTAAAATAAATAAATGACTCACCATATAATGAAATAATAAATAAGTTGCTACAATAAAACTTCCAAAATGATTATAAAAATTCATTACAAAATTATTCCTCTGAAGTTAATAACGTTTGAGGTAGCTGGCTTGAAATTTTCTCCCGCAGAGTTGATCACCGAAATAGTCTCTGTAATAGGCTGGAAATTCTGCAGCTCGGAACCGATTACTCTCGTTTTTTCAATCCTCTGACATTTTCCGCGAGCTCCCGACGTTAGCAGGTCACGCCCGACGCTTCTTTCTTTTTCTCTCTCATCCTCTTCCTTCTTTTATCCTCGTCGGGGAGCCTATTTAAGACGGCTCAGCAGAGCTCTTCAATTTGGAGAAAGGGCACCGGGTGATTCTCGTCTTTGCGAGTTACCAATTTCCCTCCAAAAGACTCCGCCTTATATACCTGCGGGCATTAGCATCGACGGAATTAAATTGAAATTCACTGCAGCCTTGGGGTTTGTCTACTCGTGGAAATTTAGCCAGCGGGCGGCTTGATTTATATTCATGAGCTGATAAAAATTCAAATTGAGCAGCACAACACCGACTCGCTGATATACGATTTCTTCATTTTTCGTGCTGCTTTCATGAAGGAAGGTCAGTGCTGCCGAAATCTTGATAACTATGCGCCTTGAACAGTTTTGGAATTTCCTTTTCCTGTGCAAATTTGCATATCTGTAGATCTGGAAACAATTTCAACATTAATGTATCCTTTCAAAGCTAATGGATGTTATCGAGGAAATTTTTTATTGCCATCAACTCTAGTGATAAAGTCAGTGTTGAAATGAGATAATAATTAATTATTATCAATCACAATTATCCTAGAACAAAAATTTAAGGTATTTTAGGTGTAAACTTTTTTATTTTTTTTTATTACTTTTCATTTACATAGTGTTTAATCAAGATTTATTCTACTTTTTTCCCATAAAATAATAATTTCAATTTTGAGGAGTTCGCTTGTGGCGCAAAGTTTCCCTGTCCATGAACCCAAGAAAATTTCCTTTGCAACTAAAAATTTCACTCTATACATTTTTCATGAATTTTTACACGACGGTATTTTTCAGACGACTTTGTCTAATTCAGTTAAAAGTTATGAAGAAGCGAGTTGCTCTCTAAAAAGTTTCCACGTGCAAAAATATTACTTCTGAGCCAGGCCTGCACAATGAGCGGCGCCGAAAATAAGTCCAGGATTCGCCATAAACCGTGCTGGAAGTGTTGGTACACTTACGGTCGGCTGTCATAATTTTCACTCAACAACCGCCCTGTCGACCTTCAGGCTGGTAGAAGTTTTATTTTTAGGGCCGGGTGCGGAATGAGCTCCAAAATTAAGCGCAAAAATATATTCGGCCAAGTGAAAAGAAAATCATGCAGACAAGGTGCATGCGAAAGTTCTGCACAGCCCATTTCTCCTCCGTTCTCTCTTTTTATTTTATTCAACGGAGCAAAAAGAGATGCTCCTTTTCGCCCTTTACGGCGTCCCACCCCCAGCTTTGTGAAATATTAAAACAAAGAGTTATTTCGCAGCCGTGTTGCCGTCGGGCGCACAATTCCGCGTCTTTTGATGGCGCAGCTCCCGGATCCTCTTTGTATTCTGACCTGCGCTGCCGCTGCGCTGATGAGGGACCGCAAAATTGTGCCTGTGCAACTGCGGAATAGAGGAATTCGCGACCAAGGGATTTCAGGGAATTTGCATTTTGGATTACCTTGCTCGAGAGGAACTCTCACCAAGGCCGATCAAAATTATCTCACTTTCGCTCAGTCTTTTGTTTATTAAAATTATAACAAAAGTAATTATTTTATAACTTGTGTTTTTTTTAAACTCAATATTAAGTAATTATTTTTATTAATTAATAATAAACTGTATTAATAAGTTTTATATTATTTTTTTTTTTATTAAATGAGGGGCATAAATTTATTGAAATTTTTTATTTTTCCGAACCTTATTATGCATTTATTTGTGATAATTGTTACGGAATCGATAATTAATGATATTTAAATGTTCTACTTGATCATCTACGCAAGAGGAATTAAAACTTCACTTACAGCTACCTTTACTTGTCTTGTATTACATAAAATTATAGCGCAATTAGCATAAAAAACTAAGCAGCTCAAAACACTAAGACAAATGCTCATAATTTAAATTCCTGCGAAACCGGAAAGATTTCCTTTAATTCGATCGCTCTTAAATTTTTCAGGTGTGTGTTATTCACATAACACCGGCTATTTCCATTAAAATTCACGATCGGAATAGATTTAATAACAGATCAGATACGAGCCATTCTTTGTTTTTAGATTGAAAAAACTTAACTAGCTGTCACATTTAAAATTCAGTCCCGAATTAAGAATAATGGTACCGAAATAGATTCGGCTCAGCACGCGGCACCCCTGCGAGCTCTTTCTTTTTTCACACGTAATACGGGCGGCAGATTGGAGTGGCTCAAATTGGATTCCTCATGGCTACTTTTTCTTCTCGTTCTTCTTCTTCATTCCCTTTCTTCTTCTCATCGTGTTCGAATATCGAAAAATAATCAATCACTCGTTGCCCGCAATCTGTTCGCTGAAAATGAATTCCGTTGGCGAAAACCTGTTATCTCTCTGTTTAAATCAAGGCCGAGGTGTTGGTAGGGAGAAAAACAACTGACCTGCAATCAATCAAACTTGCACGAAAGCGACGGCTCGACCTTTTCGCTTCTCCATCTTTATTTAGTCCCGATGGATTTTCAATCATCAATTTTGCAACAAAAAGCAAATGCCGCCGCATTTATTTCGGCCGGACGTCACCAGGGAAACAAGCGAGAGAGTGTCCTGAAGCCACGGGAGATGCTTTGTGCTCCGCATCCTCTACACCTTTTTTGCGGCTGCCGCTCTTGCAAATTTACACAATTGGGAAAACATGCACCATACCTTTATTTGCTCTCCGTTTTTTTAGTCACGCTGTGCACATTTTATATTTGCTTTTGTGTGATTTTGTTTTAAAATGTTCATGGTTTTCTTCACAAATGCAAAGGTGGTTTTTTGAGTTAAATGAACAAACCGGAACAAAAGCAATAATTTTTGTTTTTTAATTAAAATTTTTTTTCCTCAAATTAAATATAAATTATCAATTTAAACTTTAAATGGTTCAAATCAAAAGCAATTGCGCTTAAAACGATCTTAGTTCGCGCTTCCTTACCATTTGCTTTTAGAAATACGCTTCAATTGAGCTTCATTTGCACTTAGTTTACCATTCATTTTTTGAGTTACTTCAGCTTTTATTCGACATAAATTTAATACCGCTTGAATTGCGCTTTAAATACTTTTCAGTTGTGCCTTCGAAGACCTTCCTCCCCCCACTCTGAGATAGATACTTTTCTTAACCGCTTAATTTGCTGCATTGATGCCTTTTGTGTGTTTCTTTCTGTTGGTGAGTAAAGCAATATACGTTTTGGTGATATTTTATGCATTGCGTAGACGGTGGTTGGTTTTTGTGTTTTGTGAATTATTTTTGATCGCTGTGTATTCTTTAGTAGTCTTACAAATCATTTAAAGGTTATTTTTGCATTTCTTATTTTTTTTTTGGTGGTGAGTGGTGAATTGTTACTTGTTCCTTGGTGTTTTGTATGCATTGAAAGGGCGGTTTCGTGTTCTTTTCGAATATTCACTATTAACTCATTTTTTGCATAGTTGTATTTTTCAAATTGTGTAAATATTGTGAGTTTTTTGTTTTGTTTTTGTTTTGCAGGAAGCACCTGACAATGTATAATTTTGTGCTTCTCGTGGAAATTTAAAGTCGTAATTTATCGTATTTTTTGTGTGTGTTAGTTATATCATTTTAAGTTATATATCTAGTTCCAATCGTTCAACACGAAGAATTCTTTAGGTTTTCAAGAAAATATTTATTGGATTTGAATTTAGGGCAATTATGGGGAACTCATCCAAATAAATGACAAAAACAAAACTTATGTTCTTGCTTCAGAAATCACATGCATTGCCATAAACGAGAAATTCTAAACAATTTTTGATTCACACAACACGTTAGTTTTTATTCCAGAGCCACATCACTTTTTCCTGAAAGCATTGTGCTTTATAAAAATACACCCGCCACTGTAACTAGATTTCCGTGCACGAACAGTCCACAGGGATTTTATTTTTGCGGGCAGCTGAATTAATGGTGCACACCTCCGACTTGCACACGAGAAGGGCGGCGAGCGAACAAACTCGCACACACCTTTAAAAGGTTTGCTCTCTGCTGGTGCTGCAGAAAAAAAAGCAAGAATGTGTACAAATAAATGTGGAGCAGGGCAGGAACCCCAAGCGGCCGAGACGTTGCAAATAAAACTAATGTACAGAGCAAGTACGTGAACGTAAGGGTATGTCATTATTATTTTTCACCTTTTGCAATTGCAATGTACGGTATGTGTGGCACAAAAGCGGCTCTGTTCCCAGTAAAGTTTTATTACACGGAGAGGGCTGTGAGAACCGGCGCGGAGGACGCATCGCCCATTTCTCATCATTACCGCGTAAATAATTCGCGCACACACAAAGAGCGCTGCTTGATCTCGCCGGGGAATCGCTCATTCTCATTACGGCCCCGGCTTTACAGCATTAAATGGTTTAATTGAGTTATAACTCAGTTAAAATGCTTTTTACTTTTTGTTTCCTCGCACAGAGGCTTAAAACAACAGTCCTAATTTATCAGAAAACCGAGCAGAGAGAGTATTTATTTGCTGACTCCATAAAATTATACAAGCCGCTCGTCAGTCATGTTTTACAGGTTGCATAATTTCAACTCTTTTGCCGTCAACAGCTCGAAAATGAGAGAAATAAGAAGTTGAATAATTCTGGTGGGAGTGTTTTTCTTTTTTTAAATGTAGTAGAAATTATTTGCAAAATTAAATATAATTCTCGTTTCTAAGCCTTTTTGATTTGATTATTGGTTTTGTTTCAATCCCCGCCAAATAAATTGCATTAAATCCAGACAATAGGAACTTTCCATTAATACATTAGCCGACATCAATCTTCATGCAACTTTTTGTCTTTGTACACGTCCCAGTTTGTCGAAGTAAAGAAGCAAGAAGAGAAATGTCGTGCAATTTTGGCGTGGCGAAAATCCTTGCAGGTGAAGAAGCAATTAGAAGCAGAGCCCATTCATTACACGCTGTTTAAAAAACCCGAGCAATAAGCTCTTGCCGCGTGTGTCTTTTCGCAAGTCGTTTATTTTCCGTTCTTTCTTTTTTCTCTGTCGGCTCACGTCTGCTTCTGCGATAGTTTCATTTCACCGTCGCGTGTGTGTGTATATTCTTGTGTTGGTTTTGTTAACGGGGCGAAAGCAAACAGCCGCGAGTATAATTTTTTAACTCTTTGGCAACGTCTTTTCTTTTCTCACACGGGGCGAGAAAATGTCTCACGTCGCTCGGAATTTAATTAAAATTGAAGACACTGACAAAGTTTTTCAGCTGAAGTCTTGCTTACTCTTGAGCCATTCCAAGCATGCTTTGAGAAGTAGGGAAAGTTTTCCTGAAAAAGAAACGACTTCTGTTTTCCGAGAGAGCCCGTCTCATTTTAATATGTAAAATATGTTGCCATTCTCGAAATTCTTTCCTTCCTAGGGGAGGGTTGCAATATTTCCGCTGCTTTTATTTTACATCCACTCTTACTATCGACCGAGAGTTGTGCCTTTTTGTGACTCTTTCATGACAGCTTATTTATGGTTGGTCGTGTTCATAAAAAGCTATATGTGTGATTAAAGTGCGTGCATTGGTTCAAAATCAATTCGTCCTTGCCACCACCGAACAGCTCCTTTAAATTCCAATGAGAGGGGAGCAGATAAAATAAAGCTGCTGGAAAAGAGAGCGGAGAAAGAGGGCACACATACACGCGATAAATTATTCATGCACCCCCATTGAAAGTGGGTTGATCGCCCAATGTACATTTGAAAGTCTCCAAAAACGACGGTTATATGATATAATATTTTCTCTCATTTCAGCGGGCCTTATCTTTTGTGCGAGACTGCCAAGGAATAGATCATTTCTTTTATTGCAAAAGCTGCTGCAACATAAAAAAAAATAATGATAAGAGCTGTGATAAACGGCCGGGAATTTCTTCTATTCAAATTGTGCAGACAATTCAATTTTGAGGCCAAATATATCAAAATGCAATAACTTTTACTCAAATATAAAAAATAATCATGCTAATTTCATTGATAATAAAGGGATTGCAATAATGACAAAAGTTTAAAACAGCATTTATCAGAGATAAAATTCCATACTATAATACCCATAATATTTTGTGATAATGGTTTTCATACTAAAGCCATTTTATCATATATTTACTGACACCCCAGTGTAAAGTTGATAAAATTCCAATGTAAAAGTTATTGTGTTTAGAAAATTATGACAATTTATTACAAGAATGTTTTATTTTCAGTTCTTAAAATTTTAATTTACAAATCATTAAAGTATGATTTGTAATTTTTTATTTGGAAAAATTAGATTTATGCATGCAAAAACGTGGCAATCTGATTTGCACAAAAACAGTTTTAGAAACCAGAATAAATAAAAAATAATTGTTTCAAGAAAACAATTAAGAATTTTTTTTTACCATTTCGTATACAAAGAAAAAATATAAAATGCTCGTGCTAAAATTTATTGTGCTTTCAGCAGAAGTGAGCCCATCACATTGTTTCCAATTTCCAACCCACGATTCTTGCCCCTTTCGGAACGAAATTCCAACGGTCAATAAACTGGTGTTGTAACAGCAGCCTGTGCTGTGTCCCTACACGGACACACCACATAAAACAATTCCGGCCGGCAATTGGGCGGCAGCTCGGAGAGAGATGATTTTGAATCGGTGCCCAGTTGATCTCTCGCAGGTCACGCTCCGCAGACACGGCAGCGATATTTCACCGCGCTTGTTCCAAAAAGTGCGACACTTCGGTGCCAAAAGAGCCATAATCGCAGAGGCCGAGCACACGTTTCAAGCGCCCCCGGCCGGCGGCTCTTTAATGGGTCCACGATGGTGCATCCGAGGTGCATTTAATGAGCGGCGGTGGTGTCGGTCGCGGCGGACAAAGGGCAATTAGTCGAAACTCGCTAACCGGCACGTTCTGGGCGCTGGCCAAACGAGCTAACAGGTGAAAAGTGCACCTTAAACAGCCTAGGCTTGGAACAAAAAGAGCTCTAATTTAGGTATTTAAATCTAGGAACATAAATATTGTTATATTTAGTAAAATAAAATTATAACTATAAATATAAATAATGAAGACCTAATTCCTTTTAAATTTATTTTTATCAACGCTTATTATAATAAATAAAAAGTTTAACCATTATTACATTTATTTTCATTATGCTGCAAATTGTAGAAAAGAAAACTTGAATTATTAAATTAACACTATAGATTGTAAAGAGCATTTTACAAGATAAAAAAAAATGTATTTAAATTTTAATGTGAAACATAAAGGATTAGGGATAACGATGAAAATTAATTTCAATTTGACATTGACAAGACTATGCAATAATGGATAGCACTTTTGTTATATCTCATAATAATATAATAATACAATAAATGAATAAATTCTTTAATTAATATGTTGAGCTTCAAAGATCGATGTAATGGAAATAAACGATATCTAGACATAAATATCAGTGAATTTTACTTCATACTTACTTTTAGATGCTGAAATCTACAGGGCATACCATAGCTAAAGAAAATTTATGTTTTAATGATGTTTGCAAAGAAGTTGTATAGAGCTAGAGGGAAATTTAAGATGTTTTTTTCTAAAGAAAAAGCTCAAGGAAAAATGGTGAATTCTCTTTGAGCAGCTCATATCCGTGATTTTAATAGAAACAAAAAGAAGCATTTATATACCTCTTCCCTCTTTCGTGCCGAGTGGTACCAAGAGATGCAGCATTTATGAGTTGCCGCTGATGCTCTTTTCCATTTTCCTCTCCACTTTTCCTTCCGCCCTAATGAGAAAAAAAAAACACGTCGCAGTGCCAAGTCCCAACATTTCAAAGCAGCCAGATTGGCAAAAAAAAGAGAGGTATAAATCCAGGCGATGGAGGATATTTTTGCACTCATCGCTCTCTCTGCAGCGTCTTTGTCTTTCGCGCCTGATCGGGCACTTTGCGCTCAGCAGCTGAGATAAATTAGTGCAAAGACGAGAGTGCAAAATCCGGCTCAAGGAAAGAAAAGGACAAGGGAAGGAAGCGTATTTCACGTTTCTTATAGAATGTAAGCTTTATTAAAGAGAATCAAAACATGGTGGATAATAATTCTTGATCAAAATGCTTTACTCATGAATAATTATTAATACAAAAAAACATGATTTTTATAAAACGTTTCTTATTAAGCAATATGCTTTGGAAATTAGTTAAAAAATTTGTATCATTATTTAAATAACTTATAGAAAAAATTTAGTATTTATGATGCAAAATTTACAAATTAATTAAAGACCAGTTAAATACTATGAAAATATTGTTTTCTTAATATTGTTTTAAATTCTAATTTCATAACTCGCGCTTTTTCCTCTTTAATTTCCATAAAATTATATAGTTACTTTGACGGTCTGAATTTTGAATCATTATGGCGTTCAAGGATCACAAAAAGCATCAAAATACCAGACAATAAATCAATAATTATTTTACAGAATAAAAACTAGCGAAAAAATTTTTAACGATAGCAGGAACTTTCAATTATCAATATTTATATGAGAGAGTATTTCCTTCAAAATCTTACTAGTAAATAAATTCATGTTAAAAAAGCGTACTAAATGTTGTGACAAACTATTGCTAAAACTGTGTACTGTACTGATATAAACGAAAAAATATCATTTACTTTGGAGATTTTTTTTTATATAATTTCATTAGCTATTTTTATGACATAAAACTAAAATTATATAAAACGTTATCTTAAATTGCTTTCAGGAGCTGGTGTATGGCGGACCAAGCGAGGGTCGGAACTGGCGAGGAATTTTGCTGTCCCTGCTGGTGATCAGCGTGGTCATCATGGGCATCATCTTGGCCATCTACACGCTGGGCTACGTGGACGAGCTGCTGTACTGGAGCGGTCGGCGGATGAGCCTGTCCGAGGTGCTGGGCGACGACCTGCGGCCGCACCGGCTGCCCTCGGCCTGGCTCTCGGCGCACCACTTTGTCTTCCACGCCGACGACGGCTCGCTGGCGCTCTGGAGTGTGCACACCGGCGCGATCACCACCCTCGTCACAAACCACACCATGGTGAGTGCAGAAAGAAAACAATGAAATAGAAGCGAAAATCCCCTGCTATTTTTTTTCTCGCGGACGCCAACGCGCTTGATGAGCCTAGGGGCATTTTGGCCGCGCTGATTAATTTCAGCTCGTTTTTCAGACACGCTCCCTTTGTTTTGCACGCTCCAGAGCTTTTATTATTATTTTTCTTGGTGCAAAGTTTCCTCGCCAATTTGTCATAAAGTTGCTGAAACTTCACTTTTTTGTTATTTGCGCTTTCAATCCCATATTGCACCCAATACAAACATTTATTTTAAAATCATTTGCAAAATTTGTAAAAAAAAAATGAATTAAAATTTCAGTACGTATTTCAAATGAAAACCATTGCAGTTATACAAAAAAATAATATCATCCTTACGGTATTTGGTGAAATTTTGTACATATTTCTTTAAAACAAGGATATACAATAATCAATAATTTGAGAATTGAGCTTTTACCAATAATTAAATTCCCAAATTTTTGTGGCAGCTTTTTTTTAAATATGTTTTTTGGGAGAGACATTGACATGCTGTACATATTAATTAATTTGTGAACAAATTATTCTTCATAAGCAAAACTTACAAAAGAGCCACATCAACGTGATTAGAAAAGTTTCACACTTCTGTAAATTAATGATCATGATCAGATCAGCGCGACTTTGAACAAAGCAAAATCTTATTCCTCATCCGATATCGCGGTGCTCTTTGTTATCCAGCAAAAGAGAGAAATGGAAAGTGCAAGCGTCGGCACAAGTTTATTCGTTCCGTGTCAAACTCGCTTTTCCGATAATACCATCCGTTTGCTAATAACACACTGTGCGAGGATAAATGGCATGTAACGGATCCATATCTCTCTCGTAAATACTCTCGCGGGAGGAAGGACAAATTGATTCGGGAAATATGCCACGGCTGGACTTGTAATTTTACGCTCAGCTGACTTTTCCAGCGGTGGATGACGCGCTTCCGATTCAATCGTCGAACATACATTATAGAACAAGGATCCGCCGACAAACGGATCAAACTGTTGGAAACAATCTTACAGCACTGCCGCAAGCAACTTAAAGATTGTCTAAAACCATTTTAATATTTCTAAGTAAGTAATTTTCTATTTCCACGGCCGTATCAAATTCCTTCAACACATTTTCAAGACTGAAGACTGATTTGAGAAATTGATTAGCTGAAAAAATGATCAAAAAATAAAAACATTTTAAACCATTGTGTCATTAGAATAGAATTATCTTATTTTATAATTTTCCAATATTTTTTTTTGTATAATATAAAATTTTTTCAAATAATTTATTAGTGAATTAATTATTATTTCATATACAATTTTTTATATAATTAATATTATTTTTTTTAACGTTAAGACATAATATCAACAGGATTACTTGTAGAAAATCGGAATACAATAATCAGATTTGCATTTATACCTACTATTTATGCAACTTGAATAACTTAAATTATTTTAGAATAATGAATAATTATTAATAAATTTCAAAAATTAAAGTGAGTATTATCCATAATTAAATTAATCACATAAGAAAAAATGTGTATATCAAAAATTAATTTAAATTGTAATAAATGAAAAATGTTTTTACTACAATGTGAAAAGTTTGTATATCATAACTCAACAAATTATAATTAAATAAATGTATTGAAAAAATTTTAAACTGACATTACTGTTGTAAAATTTTGATTATTAAAACAGTAGTGTTTTTAATGATCACATAGTTTTCATTTTAGAGCAGCTTTTATCCCCCGTTGTAATTAAAAGCCTTCTTCATCTTTGTATTTAAGCGAATGCAAATTGTTTCCATGTCTTTATAGCCCTTTATTTAAGCACTCCCTCTGGAATGCATTTGGACGATGAGCCTCAGCCGGCGGCAAATCATCCCGTAATAAATTCATGCCTACCGGATCTCATAGAGACCAAATTATGGGCAAATTATTCAAATTGCGCCCGCCCAAGTGGCCGTTAAGTTAAGCCAAAAATGGACCCCTATATTATGCCTCATATAAAAATGAGACATGTCATGTTTTTAATTATTTCACGCTACCGGGTCGAGCTCATAGCAGAAGAAAATGACTTTTTACCTTTCAAGGGAGCGTCATGGAATTTGCATGAATTTGCAGTTCCAGAGCTGTGAGCCACTTTGCGCCCAAGAACTATTTCACCTTTTACGGACTAACACTGATGCTAATAACAATTAAACTTTCGTAATTTCTAAGAGCAGCAGATGGGCCTTAAATGGTCAAATAACGCCAACCATAAGTGTAAATTCCAAGCGGCTTCTGTCATAGAGTTGTCCCGTTGGCGTTGTAAATCTTGAAAAATGTTTCTTGGTAATGTCTAATGTCGCCACTCGCATGTTTGTAGCACTATTTTTTTTTTATAAAATCTAGCGGCAAAAATAAGATTGGAAGCAAAAGGTGGTGTGAGCTGTACAAACACTACAAACAGAATTGCATTGCAAATTTCAATGTGGGCAGATATTTGGTAGCATTTTAATGACATTTTAAAATTAAATTTAAGGTTTCTATAATAATCTCAAGTGGATAGATGATGTTTTTATTTGTATAATTTTAGTGGATATAATATAAAGAAGACCAAAGAAAAAAATTTATTTTTGCAATGAAAAATTTAAATGTAACAGTCGTTTTTCTCATTTAAAAAAAGAATCTTCACTTATATTTATTACAAAATTATTTTTATAACATAATAAATACAAAAAACATTCTAACTATTCTACTCTGATGTCTCACTTTTCATTTTCAACAAAGCTCATTTATTAAAATAAAGTTCGTGTGCTGAAAATGTGTCAAAATAATATGTTGTGCAATGTGTTTGCGCCATGATTACAAGATGTTGTGCTGCTTTTGATAAGCACTTTCTGGCGCGCACAGCTTGCGAGAGCAATGATAATATTTCTGCAGCATCTTTCTTCTCTCGTCTTTTGGCAAAAATACACACGCAAAAGCAGCGCCGGCAAACTAACACAATCTCTTTCTAGCCGACTGGGCCGGAGTAACGACGCTATTTGCGTCAGCTTTTCGTGTCAAAGAAAACTTTTCTCGTGGGCAAACCGGCAAAGGTTCTCTCTCGATTTCAATTTCCGCGCCGGTGTAATAAAAAATTCGATAATATAGTTTCTATTGAATTATCGGCGTGCTACATCTTCGGATTTGCCCAAGTTTGGTGTGATTGATATTTATATTCACGGATAGAATTTCAGATGAATTCTTTTGTGCAAACACGATAAATCGATATATTCATATAACTTTGACATTAATCAAGAACAAGCCTCTCAAGCGTAATTTATCGGGGAAACTCGCATTGTGTAAATAATTTAATCAAGCGTAATGAGGAGAAATCTTTTTTCTGTTTTTCCAAAAATAACTTTCCTTATTTTTCCATTCAGTGTCAAAAATGTGAATTTGAATGAAAAAAGCATTTAAATATTTAATTGAGGCAATATTAAAAAAAAAATACAAGTTGGTCTTTTCAAATAGCGGCACCTCAGTCAGGAGTGAAAATGCGAAGCTGAACAATATGCTTTTCTGCGAGGGACAGCTTTGTGCAAAATGCACCGTCCTGTAACAGGCTCGCCCATTCAGACAACTCATCGTGCAAATGCACTCTCTCTGCTCAAATCGCAGGAAGCAAGTTTGCCGAGCACTCGTCAGCAACCCTGGTACATAGAGTATATGTATGTGAAGGACACACACGGACATAATGCAAATTCCGGAGAGATGTAATGCTCGCTCCGTACGTACATGGAAGATGCTCACTCGCAGTCGGCCAGGTTGGAGCAGTATTAGCGTATTTAGCAAAAGTACAGAGTTTCATTGTGTGCGACCCAGAACTGGCGCACACGGCCGCTGAAAGGAGCGAAACTCGCTAATGCACACATGCAGAGATAAATTCACTTGTAATTAAAGCTAATCCGGGTCTATTCAAGTGTGCAGCTTCCTCAAGTGGCTCGTCCGTTTCGCTGCAGCATTTGCTGGGAGAGATGCTAATCAGCAAGAATTAAGTCGAGTTTGATGTCTGTTTGTTTGTTTGTTCCGCTCGGATTGTTTTCTGCATGCCGGAGAGTGGATTTCGCGCCATTCTTTGTATAAACAGATTAAAATTTGATTCTGTGGCGAAAGTTTGGTGGATATTGTTGTTGTTTGACAAGAATCGCCCGCAGCTGCCGCAAATTGGAACTGGCGGGATTTACAATACAATTGTGGGAAAGCAAAATTGTGTGTGATCAGCGTGCAAAAAATGAGCACAGCCATGTCCTGAATACGGATAACACTTTAATTATTAATTTCCATGGCAAAGAATGGAAAGTTTTTTAAATTTCTACTGAAAATTTTCAAAGAAAGCTTTTTTTGTTTAATTTAAGTCGCTAAATAATTAATGTGTGAGGAGGTTGATGTATTTAAATGGTCAGATGATTTTGTTGCCATCAATTTGTTTGTAAAATTGAATTTTAATATGAGATTAATTATTGTTTATTTTTTAAATTTCTTTGCAATAAGTTTTTACTCTGTTGAAGTTATTTTATATCAATTTTTAAAAGGTTTTTTGCGTCTCTCAACACCCTCTGCCTTGAGTTTTTTAGCTTTTTTTTGCAATTTCCTCTTGACAAGTAGGAGTGACGTTTCTAGAAGCTCAAGAGGCGTCGCGTTGCTGCGGGGGTGTTCTTACCGAGAAGCAAAACCGACCCGGAAAGAGCATCCCTGCACGCGCCCGGGGGTGCTGCTTCATCAGGCAGCCCCAGTCAAAACAAAAAGGGACCCGAACGAACGAGAGCGGTGCGAGGCAGACGTTTAATTTGCGGCGAGAGCGGAGCCTTGTAAAATGTATTTGCGGCGGCCGAGAGCAGATGCCTCCTCAGGGGCGCCGCCAAAAGAGTCTCGGCGGGGGCGGAAGATGGATGGTGCCCTTGCTTAATCTGCACGATGCGATTCCTCTTCCGCTTTTCGTTCGACGAATAATTTCTCAGCGCGGAAAAAACATTCTCTCACACGTGACGACACAAATTGTCGACGCCATGCCCTGAATATTGTCTGTACTTTTTGCTCACTTCGCCTCTCGAGAGGGTGTTTTATGGCATAGCCCAGGGGAAATTTTGCAACGTTCAAATCAAAGTTAGTCGCGTTTGCAAAAAGGGGTAGAAAAATATTAGATCAATATAAAGAAGTACAGTTTACCGCATTTCTCATGATAATTTGAATTCGTATTTTTAGGAACAGCTAGGTGAACAAAAAAATTATTATTCAGTCAATTACTAGATTGAAATTTTTAGGTAAAGAAAGAAATATTATTTTTATAAAAAACTATATCACGTGTACTGTAATCAAATCGGAAGGCGCATGATGATTTTGTTTTTAAATTTAATATTTCAGTGTTTTTACTTATTTCCCAAAATTGTACAAAGAATCGTGTTAATCAAATCTGAACTTTTTTTACCTAGTTCAGGCTGCAGTGCGGCGAGCCTCTTGGTAAAAACTCGATATTGAGTTTCAGTGAGTTAGTTCTTCACTGGCAATTTTTTCCCAAACAATCTTTCACAATTGATTGTCTTGACTTTATGCTTATGGAGAAAATTAATTGAATATGGAATTTGTATTCAAGTTTCATTATAATTAAATGTCTATCACTTATAACAATGGCTCTGAATGTTGACAACATTATAAATTATTATTTAGCTATTAATAATCTATGTGCTTTGGATTTTTTAAATTATAATTAAAGTTTTCCCTACAGTAACGATGCCCTTTCTGTTTTTGGTAACATCCTAGTAATGGAGAAATTTATAAAATAATACATTATATTTATAATAAAAGTAAAAAAAATTAAAATAAATTTTAAGACAAATAAAAAAAATATATATGTACTCATATTAAACCAAATTTTTTCGGTTGTTATATAAAATTTACTAGTTAAAACATTTACACACCCTTCATTTGCATTTTGGAAACTAATATTTCATTCTGCTATCGGTCGCCGGACTCCATACAACACCTCGAAATTGCAACTAGAACCGTTTGTGCGTCGCTTTATTTGAATGTCCCCCTACAGAATCCACTGACGCTCGATCGTTAGCCACCGAAACTCGTCCGCCCACCACACCACACAACCCTTTGATCTGCGGAGCTTGCAATCCATGCGCTCTCGCTCCAGGGCCTTGTGATGGAATAGGCTGTCGTCGGCTCGGCTGCTTATTGTGTGTGGGAGCAGAATTATATTACGCAAGGCGGGCTCCTTCTTGTTGCCTTTCGCGGAATAATCGTGCGCACACACCAAGTAGAATAATTCTGCACTATGAATGTGTACTCAGCGAGTCAGTGAATGTAAGTCCATATATTAAGCAGCCGTTTGTACTACAGAGCGAATATATTACTTCGTGTACCAGTCGGAAGTACTATAAAATTATAAGAGGCAGACAGACTTGTATCGCCTGACTGCTGACATGAAAGCTTACAATCAATGCACTGAAGCTGTAAATGCTTTCAACCTCTTCATCCACTCTGCTGTTTTACTTTGTAGTACCGAAAGAAAGGAAATCCTATTGTCATGAAATAAATCAATCTCTGCTTCTAAATTAGATTATAAATGAAATAAAAAGTTAATTTTTAATTCTAAATTATTGTCAATTTTCGACCACAAATGAAAAAATGAAAATAAAAACAAAAGAAGCATTAAAAAACAGTTAAATTAAATATTAAACTTAAAAATTTATTTGTTAATTTAAATTTTTAATGAATATTTGATTATGTTACAGATCATAATATAATAATTTAATTGCTACAATATTTTCTCTGCTGTGTAAATGAAATGTGATTATGTTAAATGATTTTTTATTGTAAAACTGAGATTCAAAGATTAACCTGTTGTTTACTATTTTTGTTGCAGCGACAACTAGACGTGCAAGGCTACCACGTGTCTTCAGACAGAAAATACGTGCTCTTTCGCCACAACGTCAAGCCGGTAAGTCAACAATACAATTTTATCCACCCGCTAGCGAAAGCGAGACGGAAACAATACAATAGTGGAAGCTAGAAAAAGAAAGCAAACTTGACAGCCGCACCAACCCCGTCGCATTCTTTTGCCAGCACGCTGATGTGTGTTATTTAATCCCACAGGTTTTCCAGCACACGTTCACCGCCTTCTACACCGTGTACGACGTCATCAATGAGTAAGTGGAAAAAAAATAAAATTATAATTCCCCGGTCAGGTCCATTAAGAAAATTCAAGAAAATTGAAATTAATTTTATTATTTATATTTATTTTATTTCTACCTCAGATCAGTAGTTCTTTTTTATATAAATTTCCTTAAAAATTTTCATAGTAAAAACTAATAAAGTGTGAAAAAAAATTAGTTTTACAAAACAATTTACTTTAAGTAAAACTATTTTGGTACTTTCAGCCACCACTTGCCGATCCGGTTAAAACCGGGGGCCGCGACGCATAGCCGGCTGCAGTTCGCCTCGTGGATGGGCAACTCGACCTCGCTGCTGCTGGTGCACGACAATGACCTGTACCTGCAACGCGCCCCCATCCCTCCGCCGTCGCCAGCCAAGCCCCAGGTCCGTCTTACATCCAACGGCGTGCCCGGCGAGTTTTACAACGGCGTACCTGACTGGCTCTACCAAGGCAAGTAGTGCTTTTCTTTTTATGCGTGACTTTTCTGTGTGAGAAATCGATTCGCTTTTTCATTCCACCTTTGTCTTGGTGCCGTATGGGGCCTTAATGTAATTCTTTCGATTGCCGACCTTGTTCTGAATTTGAATTGAAGATTTATGACTCGCGCGCGACTCGTGCGGGAGAAAATGATGAATGGTGCAGAGCAATTTCTAGGTAGCAATAGCAAAATGCCATTTCTACAGATATGATCAATTTATCGACGATCGAATCTTTCAATGCAGCTAGAAAAATGTTTAAGTAGGTAGAAAACAAGTCATAAATTTACCATTTTTAAATTAATTAAGCAATTATGTCGACTTATGTGTGAAAGAACAAAAATAACATTCATTTATTAAAAATTAGTATTTGTCTACATTGATACAAGAATTCAATACTTCAGGGAAAATGTTGGGAGGGAAAGATCTAATTGTAGGATAAAAGGCACTCCTTAAGTAAAGATTTTTCTATACAGCTGCTATACAGCTTCCGGAAATTGAATATCTCTATCTGTAATTTTGTAATAGCAAATTTCAATTTTTTTATATTATTTAGAAATAATTTTTTTTTCCAAACAACATAATTTTTTCAAATACCTTTTCTATTATTATTAAATTTTATTATTTTTTACAATAGTATTATAATTTTATTTTTACTTTATTAATATGTTTTAAATTTATTCAAAACTCAAAAACAGGGCTATATTTATATTTATTTATTTTTCTACTATAATAATAAATTATATCCGTAGTACTTAGGCTCTTATATTGTATAATTAATTATAATAATGAGTCGGTGAAGAGTTCTATTTCCTTAAATTACGTTCTTAATTCATACGTATTTCTCCAAAATTTAATGCCTACATAAGATTGACATTTTGTTTAATAATTTTATTAATTACATTTTATTTTCCCACCAGTAACACATCATTTTTTATGAAAATATTATTGATCTGGGGCATAATTATGTATACTTTTTAGCAAAATATTTTGAGATAATTATTAAATCAGCGAAAGTTATTAAATTATGTTTAAAAAAATATTTTGACATACTTAAAAGAGGATCGACAGAGTAAGAGTCGCAGACTATTCAACGCTGATCCTTTTCTTACTTCTTACTTCTCACATAAACGAACAAGAGACCAAATAAAGAAAGATTTCTTTCCAAAGTGCACAAAAGCACTCCGAAAGAGCGCAAAGTTGGCATTTTTACGCCGTTTTATGTGTCTCTCGCGCTTTGCGACGCCCAGACGCTAGTTAAATTTCTTTCTGGCCGAGCCAGCGATGGTATCTTATGCAACCGGCAAAGGCCTCGTGGCGCGCGTGCTGCCTATGGACGTTCGCTACTGGCACACCGACAGGTAAATTATTATAAAAGGCCCTTGCCGCGTGAGATAAAAGGCTCCATAACTTTTAATATTTTCTGACACAAAAGCAAGAAACGGCCGACGGTGGCTCACGGCCCCACCCAAGAAGTAGCAATTGCTTTTTATGGCTCGCGGATGGACGGTTCTGATGGCTCACCTGCCCCAACTGCTTCTAATGTGGGGTGCAAAAAAAAAAAAAAACATTCACAGTGTAAAGATGGGGCCAGACTTTGTTATTTTTATCTCAAAATGTTTTTCTCTAAATAGTTACAACAATTTACTACTCATTGATAAATAAAAAAAGAGCGATAAAGTTTAAAATTTGTATTTCTTACAATTGGGTCAATTTAAATTTATTGCTAATCATTTTGTCCCGTCATAGAACTAAAATATTCAAGGTTAAGCTATCAATAATTTTTCTGCGTCTCAAATTTGGAAATTGCAAAAAAACTATTATTTTTATCTGATTGTTTAATAATTGCCAGAGTTATGCGTAAAATAATTTTTTTGATTTTTTTTTTCACAATATATTTTAAACTTTAAAATATTTTGACCGTGAGAAGTGCTACTCTGCAAGCGTAGGTGAATAAGGCACGTAAATATCAATCCCAAATTGCAATTACCATTAACATGCCCATTTTGTCACGAACAAAGCAGTCTCATGATGTAAACACACACTCGATCCGAATCTCTCCATGCGAGCACGAGCGGCTCAGCAATTGCTGGGATAATCGCCCTACTTGATATTTTATTTGGCGAAGAATCGCGTGTCGGCACGCCAGCCTCGCGTTTCAAGTTGTTCATCAAAAAAGCGGTGTCTCAATCCTTAGTAGAAAAGAATGAATATTTTTTGAAAGATATGAAATATTAATTGGAAGTAAATAAATATTTTTCGCAGAGGAAGGGCTGCTGGGCGACAGCGAGAAGGCCGTTTGGAGCAGCGTCGACGGGTCCCGGCTGCTCTTTGCCACTTTCAACGATTCGGCTGTGCGACTTTTGCAGGTGCCCTGGATGGGACCCTCGCAGGGTGCGGCCGGTGCCACTGACGCACCCTTCCCGTCTTCCAAGACAGTCCATTATCCTACAGTAAGTTTAACTTATTAGTACAGAAAACAAAACAACATAAAATATTTTTTGCCTAATTAAATTTTAAAAGTACTTTTAATATAATTTACAAATATTTATAAAAAATTATTAAGTTCATTAAACGTATTTTTTTAAATTTTGAGTAATTTTGTTAAATTTTAAATCTGAAGAATTGAAACAACAAGTTTTTGTATTCTATTTTAACTTTTAACAATTTTAGCCTAATTTTTTGAGTATAAGTTATATGTTATATGGTTTGATATTATTCATGAAATTGAATTGAAACAAATACTGCGTAACTCATCCACTTCATTGAATGTATTAATAAATTTTATATCTCGAATTAGTAACAAAGATTATTATTTATTAGAGGCATTGAATATGTAAATAAATAATTCATAAACCGACAAATTAAATTTAATTATAAATACTGTAAAATATTTAATTTCTTGGCAGCCATTAACAAATAAATAAATCTGATCTCATAAATATTAATGTACATCCATTTAGTTGCCTTTTGATGGCTCGAAATCAAACGTATCATTTTCTGGGAGGTACCCATCAATCTAAAGCTGTTGAAGCCACTGATGTTTACATAAAAAGTTCTCCGTCTGAATGTGGCCACTTAGCCCTTGAGAATCAGTTTTGCTGCCGAAAGGCGAGATTGAAAATTAGCCGGTGCGTGTGTGCGTGTGACTGTCAGCCAATGTTGGATTGCCGTGCGAGCAAAAACTTTTTCCTGCCGCGCGCGGCCAAAACTAACGCAGCCAGCGGAATATCAAAGTTTTTACGCCGCGTGAGAATAGGCAGCTTTCAGCCAGACTCTGATTTAACAACCTGTCATGCTTTTTGCACACAATGCTCTTCACCCGCTCGTCGCTCTCTCCATAAAGAAAGAGAAGAGTTTGGTTTGCTTTTTATTTGACTGTCTTTTGCTCTCGTACAATATCGAGTTGGCTCGCGACCAAACCGCCGTCACTAAAGCAGAAAATGAAATGATTTGTTTGCCGGTAAGTGGGCAAATTTGCTCAAGCCGACAGCTAATCAAAATCACGTCAAATGTTAAACACAAGTTGCATCTTGGTTTAGTATATTTAAAAATTTCTAGAAAGCTGAACACGTAATTGGATTTTAAAATTATAAAATTTAAATTTCATTTGTTAAATTTGAAAATTATTTAAAAAAAATCATATTTATTTTCATGAATTGTGATATGTTTAATGCAATTTGTAATTTATTGAAGGCGATCCGAAAGCCTTGCCCCAGCTCTGCAAAATTGAATGGCGGCTAAAGTTAGCGCGGGCCGGGTTTATTTAGTCTTATTATTCAATTGGATCGCCCCAAATATTGAGTAAGAGTATCATAAAAATATTAAACATAATTTTAAAAAAGTTTAAAATAAAGTTAAAGATTATCATATAGTAATGAATCCTATACAATTTAATAAAATATATTTTATATTTTTTTTATTTTAATAATTTTAAATTAAATAATAGATAATTTTTTCTTCAAATTATATTTACTTTTCTTATAATTACTTGCCGTTCCTAACAAGCTTGTAAAAAGTTATAAATTTATTATAAAAATTTCACATGCGCTACAAATTAAAATTGAATCAAGTTCGAAAACACTCTACATTCTTCCACTTGCTGGATTCCAGTTGTTAATTGTAAACTAGCATCTTATTATTATTATCAAAATGGAATATAGTACAAATAACTCTCATTATAAGGTATAAATTGAAAAACAGTCATCAGACTTTAGCTTAGATGCTATACATAATTCATCTTAGTTCTAGAAATTTTTTTCACTATATTGTCGGGGTAATATAATATAATATTTTGCGACTCAATTGCATGAGCAACAGTTAAAAATATACAGCAAAATTAGAAACAACCGTTTTTTTAATTGTTCTAGTTGCTAATGAAGTACGGTGGTGGACTGAAAGGAAACTATATTTTTAATTGAAATATTTTTATTGGTGCTAAAAAAAGCTGCATCTTTCGTTTTTAATGAAATCTCATGAAATCCCTTATCACAAAACCATAGCTTGAATTCTTCCTTCGCACGTGAATGTGTTGAGGTGCAAAAAAGCGACCCAGACGTACGAAAACACGTGCGCAGGACGGAAAAATAAATTCGGGACGTGACGGGCATTCACTGAAAATCTGCACTAAACGTTGTTTTTCTTCGCTTTGCTTTTGGCAGCCCGGCTCGAGCAACCCAGAGGTGCGACTGTTCGTGCTGGACCTGGAGGGCAACGAGACGACCAAGTGGGAGGTGGTGCCGCCGCTCGAGCTCAATGACACGTAAGAAAAGCGCGCCCTTAATTAATTGGCTCGGTTGAAATCACGTCGGTCTGTGTGCAGCGAATTCTACATCACTGCGGCGGACTGGGTCGACGATTCGAACGACTTTATCACTGTCACCTGGATGAATCGGGCGCAGAACTTGAGCGTGGTCACCACTTGCCACCAGGACCAGAACTGGACTTGCCACGAGGTGAGTTATTTGCCTAAATAAAAAAATGACACGCCCTAATCATTCATTGGATCCTTAATTGCTTTGTCGAAAATTAATCATGCGCACAAACAATGATTTTCTTGGTGATTTGAATTTAAAATCGGCTTTTCCTCGATGGGTTTTTGTGAGTTGTTTATTGTTTAAGAAAAAACAATATCCTGCTCAAATCACCATGAATCAACCCTCGATTGTGAAATTCTACAAAAAAAAAAAATGATTTTCTTATCTTATTTAATTGAACAATAAGACATTGTTATGGATTTTTTCGATTTTTTTTTAATATCTTTAAAATTTATTAGAAAATAACATATTTTGACGTAAAATATAAGAAAAATTAAATTTCACAACCTACCGCATCATTAAAATATATTTCTTTATCTTTATCCAATTAATTAATGCTCTTTTTTGGATGAAATATTGTGGACAAATTATTTTTTATCGGAAATGACTTTTGCCCTGCTGTCTTCATTTATTTTGGATAAAAATTAAACTTTGAACTTTTTTTTTTTTTTTTTTTTGATTTTTTTCAAATGAAGAAGCAAGAAACACGACAAATCATCAAGTTGACCTATAAAAGCGCAAATTTGATGGTTATTATTGAAAAATATGAAAACTGATGTTTGCTAGATGAAATATAAAAATGTGCAAATTTGTCAAAGGTGCATGTCGAGCGAGCTCTGGAGTCGTCGTGGGTGGATGTGGAGCCGACGCCGGTGTTCTCGGCCGACGGCACTAGCGTGTTGCTGTTGTGTCCGGTGCAGGAGGGCGCCGCCGACTACTTCACGCACATAATTCACGTCAGCCTCGCTCCACCGCAAAGACTTGCCGTCATTAGTCACGGCAGACATGAGGTCGAGCGCATCATCGGCTGGCACGCCGCCTCACACTTAGTGTGAGTTAATTTTACAATTAAAAAAAAAATGCTTATTAGGAAACAAGTAATTTTGAATACAAATAAAAAAATCCAAAAATCTACTTTTCTCGTCAATATATAATAAAATAAATTTAATATTTCCGTTTGTTTAATATTAATAGAGTAATCCAGTTTGATTTGTAAATATTTGTGCTTAGCTATTCTTTAAAAATTTAAAATTTCACAAATATATCAATCAATACAGTTGTTAATTAATGCGAAACTAAAAATAAAATGGTTTTAAACAATAATATTATTATTTTGTTTCTCACAATATTAGAGCTGACCTGCCTGACCTTTGCTTCTGTATTTTTATTCAGTTATTACCTCGGCACTTCGGAGAGTGGTCCGGGTCAGCGTCATCTGTATGTGGCCCCGGACCCAGGCTTATCAGCGGCCAGCAACAACCTCGGCAACATGGAGGCCCGTCGGCTGGAGCCGCGTTGCCTGACATGCCACCTGGACCATTCCGACCGTCACTACGAGAACTGCACTTACTTCTCGGCCTCGCTCAGCCCCAACACGGGTTACGTGGTGCTCGAGTGCCAGGGCTTTGGCACCCCCAGGGCTGGACTCCACGAGCCCCTCAGCTCGCTCAAAGACAAGTTCAAACTTGTCAAAATGCTGTACGAGGGCCACCAGCAGCGCGGCAGCAGCGGTCCCGGAGGTAAATAATATTTTTTAATAAAATTTTTTCAGAAATAAATTATTAAACCAATTGTTAATAAAAAATTTCAAAACCTTTCCTTAACATCTTAAATAGATTAAGATCATATATTTAAAGTCTTTAAATTAAACGAGGTTTGTAAAATTAATTCTTTTTTTAATCATTTTAACATTTATCTACATCACATTTTGTATCACTTTTGTATTCTTGCCGTTCTTCTGGAGAAATATTTGAATTAGTGGCAGCCGCCTTCATGCAGGAAAGTGAAATCTGTAAATAAAAATTATATAAAACCCATTTTATTTGAAAAAAAAAATCTTACGGGTTCCCCTCTGGCAGTTGTGGCAGTTCATCACGCACTGATTGTTGAAGGGCAGCTTGTTCTGCGAGTTACTGTCCTTAGCGCAGAACACTTGAGCAATCTCGCGAGTGCACTTGCACTTGGTATCGCAGTTTTCATCAGCAGTAACTAGTATTTGAATAATAAAAAATAAAAATGAATAAAATTCCTTGCTATGTTTGAACGAACTAGAATTCTGAATTTAAAAAGTTAAAAAGATGAAAATTGAGCTTACCAAAGACGGCCATAAAGGCGAAGATGGCGAAGAAAATCGCGTAGAACTTCATGTTGATTGTATTTCTGCCTCGGCAATAACCTAAAATATCAGACGAGGGCACCTTTTATATGATCTCCCTATCAGCTTGACTCGCGCCCTCGATTCGCGAACTTTGTGCAGACAAACACGCGATTTATATTCAATGACCCGGCGAGCAGGAAAGTTCGCCGCCGATTTAATTCAGCGATAGCAAAATCACTGCGCAACTTATTTCGTTCTTCTCACCATCAAGTGAGATTCCACTCTCAATTTCAAAGAGAAAAATATATAATATGTAAATAAAAATAGAACAGAGTAAGATGAAGAATTTCGCTTTGTTCAAGGAGCAGTGCCGGGAGGTGATATTGGAGCGAAACTCGCTCAACTGGCACTGCCCAGCGTCAAAACCTTTGAGGTGCCTCTACCCCAAAACTGCAGAGCAAAGGTGAAAATTTTGCTTCCGCCGAGTTGGAGGGAAGAATTGAGAGACGCAGCCTTCCCTGTTCTGGTTGAAGTGTAAGTTTAAAAAAAAATAACGAACTAAATATTTTATTATAAAACTGAAAATTATTTTCTAATGTGTGAGATAGAAATTACAAAGTGATTAAATTAATCAAAATAGAACTGAGAAGTGAGCGTAGTAGACCTACTTTATTAAGAAAAAATATATTCAAAAAAACTATTCCAAAATGTATGTAAAATTCATTTATAAATAATAGAAAATGAATCTTTTGTAATAAAAACAGTCATGAATGTTACAATTATACAGCATCAATGAAACGCAAACAATTATAATTTCTGATTAAAGAAACGGAAGGCCAGGCAGCCAGTCAGTTACAGATGTGTTCAGTGTTGACTGGGGCACTTACATGTCGAGCAAAAATGACGTCGTTTACATTAGAATCGACGTTCGGGGCGCCGGAGGTCAGGGCAGAAGGGCCTCCAAGGCGTTATATCGCCACCTCGGTGGCGTTGAAGTACAAGATCACATCATTGTTCTCAGGTACTATAAAATATTAATTTCCGCTTTAAATCAAATATGCGATTCAATTTTCAAATATGTAATAAAATCTTAAATAAAAAGAACAATTAATTTTTAATAATTCTTTTTTTTTTTACATCTGTTATTTAAACTTCTTTAATCTATTTTTATTATTTATGCTTCATTATACTTTTTCTTTATATTTACGATGATCTTAAAAATATGCGCTTTTCTTTTCTTATGAAGTCAGTAATTTTAGTTATATTTTATGAGATTTTAATTTTTATTATAAATACTCCTGAGTATATTAATTGCAATAATTAAACGTGAGCGAAATTGAGTTTTCGAAATTTCTTATACTATGTATGATTCCACTATTACACACAGTTAGAAATTCTATTTTACATGATTGAATTATTCGTTCTTTTATAACAAATTAAATAATGTAATGAAGCTATGAAGTAAATTATTTTTCTACATTCCAGGTATTTACTGGAGACGCTTCCATTCCTCGATGAGACCAGGGTAGGCGTTTGGGGTTGGGGGTACGGTGGCTACGTCACCTCGATGCTGCTCGGCACGCAGCAAAGTATTTTTAAGTGCGGCATTGCAGTTTCCCCAGTCACAGACTGGCTGCATTACAGTGAGTTGTTTCCTCTCCCCATTTTTTCCACCATTATTTATTTTCGCGTTTGCCGTTTTTCTAGATTCTGCCTTCACTGAGAGGATGCTTGGCTCGCCGACTGAAAACTTCAAGGGCTACGTCGAAGCCGACGCGACCCAGAGGGCCCGATATGTGCCCAATCACGCTCTCTTCCTCATCCACGGCCTTGCCGACCTGAGTGCGCCCTATTCGCATGGGGTGGCTCTGGCCAGGGCGCTCGCGGAGGCTGGAATTCTATTCAGATACCACGTAAGTAATTTCCAAATATTTTTTATCATTCATTTCTACTAACAAAATAAAATAACCCAATCAAAATCATCAGACAGATAATAATTAAAAATAAAAATTTTATTACATTTTTTCCCTCCTGCTTAGCCACACATTCTCGAATTGTAAAAAGAATATTTGGTGCCCAAAGGTTGAAAATTCCAGTTAACGGAACTTTGTGCTTTTGTTGCGCGGGTTGCAGAAAACTCAGCAAAATTGGCAAATTATAAGAACAAAAAGATTTTTCCTATGATATTTTTGTTTTGTTTTAATGCTTCTCTCTTTTCTTCTATTTATTTTGATGTATTAAAATTTTTTTTTAAGATCTGCCAGCAAAATAATTACTAATAAAAATTTTAATGAAAGTGTGAAAGAGTGATAATTGTTTTCGCTCGTAAATTTAAGGGGCTATTAATTTTTACTGCTCGTTAAAAACTAAATTCATAATTCGAAACGTTTTTTAATCTAAATTTAAATGATTTGTGATTGATTGTCAATATTTCGGCGCAGATAAAAATTGGAATATAAATCCCCCAATTAAATATTGCAATTTGAAGCAGCAATTAAGTTATTAATAATAGTGCTGGTGTTGATCTTGTTAACCTTCAGAGCTACGCCGACGAGGGTCACACGTTGGACGGCGTGATCGAGCACGCGTACACGTCAATGGAGGACTACCTGAGAGACTGCCTGAGCCTGGACGATGACCCTGGCAGTTCGTAGGTGCGCTCTAGATAGCCCGTCTTTCAGGAGAAAATCTCTCACAATTATATCACCGACTGCAGGTTTGATTATTCAGTACCAATGGAGCTCATCGTCAACGCTTTTTGCATCAATTTTTCATAACATTAAAAAAGCGGCTGCCCCAAGTTTTTTCACAAGTGGCAGCTTTTCATTTACAGTTATTTTTATTATTTACCAGAGGGAATAAAACTGTTATTGGGAAGGAGACAAATTTAATGCATTTCCAACACAGACGGATCGGCCTCGTTAAAAAAATCAGAGCAGAATTATATAGACTTGGGTGCGCGTGTATAACGGATGAATAAATAATATTCACAAAGTGCTATTGACATAATTATTATGTACTTACAATTCTAGTCTAGAGCTTCGTTACATAGCTTGTTGATATTTTATAATTACAAGTTATGGTGTAAATTTTGAAAAAGAAAATAATACATGAGCATCTTCACCTGTTAATATCTAGTACCTTAAGTTAGCTCAAAATGTAATTATTGTATAGCCATTTTACCTTCAGTTACAATTATGTACGAGTAGACGCAGCTAAAGTTATTAATTTAATTATTTAGAGTATCTTAAAACAACTTTAATCAATTGAATTAACCTTTTCATATTCTATATGCAACTGATAAAATGTGTTGCTCGTTCTTGTCAACAACATTTATTTACAGTTTTTAATACAAAAGAAAATGCGATCCGTGTTTTTGTCTCATCGTGTCTGTTGATTTACTTTGTGAGCACAATAGAAGACAAAATGTATCTTAAGATTCAAGATATCTAAATGTGATCTCAGTTTGCAGTGGAATGTATAAGTGGAGCAGCAAACAAAGTAGGTTGTTACGTTGACGCGCAAAATATCATTTGCAGTTGTTACGTTTTATTCAGCACTAAAATATTTTGCAAAACAAAAATCTAAAAGGAAAAACTTTAAGAAGATGATCAGAGTGAGATTTTCTTCAGTGTAATTAAAATTATTTATAAAAAAAAACAACGATAAGGACAAAGAGTTACATTTAAAGCAGACATACGCACACAAACATGTAAAAACTATGTGCTGTAAATGTGTAAATAAAAATACTCGTCATTATCTATACAGTCTTTCATCGGTTGATTTTAATTTAAATATTATGTGACAAGAGAACGACAATTAGAAGTATTAAATATTGTATAGAGAATTGCTATAAATGATGATTGTTTAAATAAAGAGAGATATTTGATGGCTTTTAAAATGGATTGTACTCTATAAATTGTTCTTGTTTTATTTATTTAACATCTACTCAAAAGTTCTAGCAAGCAAGCACGCAATCAAGTTATTTTCTTACTAGTTAGTTTATTTGATTTATTTTATGTATATTTTGACTAATTAATAAATAGCTTAATTGTTGAAATAAATCCTGGGAAAAGCATATTTTTATTATTTTGTTGTTGTTGTGAACTTTGATTGTGTTCGCTTTCTCAAATTAATTTTGAACTGATTGTGATTTGAATGAAAATTATTAAAAAAATATGACATTAGTAGATGACTTCATTGGAGGCGGAAATGTTAATAAATGTCATTGAATTAGAAAAAAAAATGATTTTATCGCAAACGTTGTTGTAAGCTTGGCGTTATTGACGTCATTAGGCATCAAGATACTCGCATATCTAATAATTTTATGGTCAATTTTATGATGCTAGTTTCGCAAACGCATAATAGTCATAAAAGACTAGGAATTAAGATTTTATGGTGCTGATATTTCTCTATGTCTCGCTAGAAGAATGCTAGGGGTTTGACCCGCGAGCATAAAAAGAACCGCTGGGAAATAGAGGAGAAGCGTTGCCAGGTGGGAAAATTCGCATTTAGGCCAATGAGTTCACCGAGTTTTGCACACGTGGACCCTCTATTATGGAATTTTCAAATAATTGAGGTTGAGAGGTGCAAAAAAATTGGCACGTGCAAATTTATTTCACGCAGTCTCAAAAGCTAAATCCGCATTAACCAGCTGAATTAAGCAAATTTAAATTCAAAATGCCTCCAACATGGCCGATCCCGTTACCAAACCAGCCGCCATTGCAAATTCTTCTGCCCAAAGTATGTCACACGCAAGTCCGAGTCACATCGTAAATATTTCGCGCGCGTCCTCCAGCTTATGAATATGGGCGATAATTACAACTTGCATAATTGTCCCAGCAGCGGCGACCACCGCTTCCGTTAGAACTCTCCATAATTTTCATTTTAATGAAACTAGTAAAAATAACTCCAGCAAAAGTATAAAACGGCCGCCGGTCATGATTTTTTTCTTTTTCCTCCTGGAATAGAAGAAATTCGTGGTCCCAATTAACATTTTGAGTTGGCTGATAAAGAAATAAATAAAATGTAGAGTGGAAATATACAGAGGTGGTCTGGTTCGGGGAGGACAATGAGTTAAAAAGTTGCTCTCGCACGCATGCAGTGGAGTCACTAACGAGCCGGCGCGCTTCTCAGGCGGCGTCTACTATTTTTTATTTAATCTTTGTTTCTCGTGTCTGGTTCGTTGAGATTTTTTACGTACTTGAACTACACCAAGACCAGCCAGATTACTTGTTGCTTTGAATTTTTGGCATTAAAGTATAGTGAGTAAGTACAAGTTGCAAGTGACTGGCAATTTCAATAACTCGTATTTTATAGAGCAGGGTGCTGGAGGTGGGCAGACAGACAGCACTGCTCATTGAAACTCAGATAATTTCTGCTTTAATAGCTATAGCGGGACAAAAATTAAAAATATATTTTGTTTTAAGTTATTTATTTTCTTTAAAATTCATTCAAATAATGTTTCGCTCTGTAAAATAAGTAGTTTTATTTAACGATAACTTTGAATTTTTAACAGGCTGAAAGATTTGTTTGTTTGCTAATTTTAAAATTCCGAGATTTATATATAATTTTGCACAAAATTATTTTGTCGTTGATTTGCATTCTCCTGTTATATATATTTTTTTAATATTATTTAAAAGAATGTTGATCCCTGATTTACATTTCCAAAAAAACCAGTTAAGAACGCAGCAACATTGAAATCAAAACCTAGGCATGTTTTACTTCTGCTTGAGTAAATCGGCCGCTGCAGGTTTCCTTCTTGGACCAATCACCTAAAATTAATGAAAATCTCTGGTCGTCAGATTAAATTGATACGTGTATGCATATCTGCAGTGGATTTAGTGGTTCCCCTAGAGCAGAGAATTTCGAGGTCAGCGCAGAGTGCACGTGACGGATACAGTTAAAACCCTGTCGTCTGTTATATGCATTCGATTCGATTCATTTTATTTATTTTTCCACTGACGAGCAGGTTCAGCAGTGATAAATCGATGCTAACCGCAAGGATACAGGAAACACATTAGCGTTTTGATGTTGGGCTTTTAAAAAACAAAAACAGAAATCGGGACTTAATGTGTCGCATTGGTTTTCTGCGGAGCTGAGGTCGCTGACCCTTGAAGCTTTTAATTAATAAATTAATTAATTACCGTTTGATATCCCAAAAACTTGCAAAAACTGTGCCATTTCTGACAATCGTAACTTTGTAAAATCATTATTCTAAATATTATTTTTTCAAATCGAGTTTTTATATAAAATGCAAATTTTCATTATTTTAAAACATGCATCAATTAAAAAAAAAGTGCTTTTCATTCATATAAAAATATATCTTTGCCATCATGATATCGTGCAAATGCAATAAACTCAATTCGCACCAAAATTAAAAGTAGGGATCGCTCTCTCGCAGCAGAAGAAAATTGCTGGGAACATTTTTGCGATTGGTCGGGAAGAACCTTCGGCGAGGTCAGCTGCGTGCCTTGCTTGCTTACGTGCACCGCAGCAGGCTCTGCATGGCCCTCCGTGTAGCCGGCCGTGCACAAAATACTACTACAACTTGCCATTTCGAGCAGCAGCAGCGTCCAGAACTTTTAATGACCGGGTTACAACAAGCGGGCCGAGATATGCTTGCCGGCACGTAGCTTGGAGACGCAAATTAACGATAAAATTCGCAAACCGGTGCGAGCGCGTGTTCATTTTTTTATTGCAAAATAATTAGCAAACTAAGTGCATTGGCCTGTTTCACGCCACTGACCCCATAAGTAAAATTAAATTATCTAACCAGAAGGTTGTAATTAGTCCAAATCAGTATATTTTTGTACCTATCTCTTTCATGTAAGATCAATGAATTAAATTATAAGATTTATTAATAGTAAGAACTGCCAGGAGTTTTAGTTGAAAGGAAATGATCCAAATTTTGCCGGAGGAAATTTTAGTGAAAAAATTTTTCCCCACCAGACAAACATTTTGTGCTTTTTTTTCTTATTGTTTGATTATGTTAAGAAAATACAAAAATAATTTTTTTAATCTATTGCATTTTAGGCGTTCAGATTACGATTTAATCTTTCCCTTGAATTATTCAAATAAATACAAATCTTATGTAGGTCATGTGTATTTTAAGCGCTCCCTGTCAGACAGGTATGGTTATTTTCGCTATATCGTAATTGCACGTGGCACCATTTTTAGATCTCTGAAATGTAACGACATGGTACAGTATTAACAGTCTGGTGTGGTGACAGTTGCGGCGCAAAACGCTCGCAGCGATTGAAGATAAGGAAAAAAATGCACTGCGCACCAAGTAAAACCAGAGGTGACCTGGCTCGGATCTAGACGAAAAAGGAGCTTCCTCGTTACAAAACGGTCCACTGGGCCATATATTTGTAGAAATTCTCGCTTCACCCATCAAAACGGTAGAACGTCACTTTTCAGACGTGTGCAATAAACCAGGCAAAATATTTTCTTAATTAGGAATCTCAGGATAAAATAATTAATTTAATTAATTAAAAATGGAATTTTAAAGATTTGCATCAACTTTTTTTTAACAATTTTTTTTTAAAGCGATACACTTTTACAGATAATGCCTAGTTTTTGATTGGAATAATTATGTTTAAATAATAAATTATACACATCAGAAAATAGAAGCTGCTGGAGTATCAAAAAAATTGGATTTGTTTGTATTTTTTTTTTTTTTTTATTAATTTTGCAATGGTTTAATAGTAATTATCTGTTGAAGCTTGTTTAATATTATTTTAAAATAATCATACCTCAAATTTTTAATAATAATAATTCACAAAGGAATGTAAAACAAAAAATTGTTTAAAGGTAGAGTTGTGCAATTTTATAAAGTATGTAATAAGTAATAATAATTGTGTAAATATTATCCTCTATAATCTTCTTTCATAAATGAGAAGAAGAGCTGCGGGGGCTAGTTTCACGTTTTAAGTAAAAGTCTTTTGACGAAAGTGAAGCAGCGGCACACACGCCTCGGTAATAATTGATCCAATTACCGTCCACTTGAATGAGGAAAATGAACGGTCATTACGTCTCACTTTTATTATCCGCCAGGCGTGTGCCGCCGCACCAATGAATGAATACTTTGTCTGCTTGGGATGAGTAACAAGAGAAGCAGGTAATACTCTATAAGCACGCGGCAATGAAATGATCGTAAAATTTCGGTCCTCAGTCATATATTTCATATTCATAGTGCCTAATACCAGTAATACCATGGCGTGAAACACATAAAATAATGTTAACCGGTTTAAAAGAGTGTTTATTTTCTTAGAAACGTCATACAAATTATTTTTGAAAAATATGGGTCTATTAAAGAAATGTAGTGGTTTCTTAATTGATTTAAATTTACATTACATAGTACAAGGAAAGAAGGGGGAGCATAGAATGTAAATTATTTTCAAATTTATTATTATTGTTGCTGTTTCTTTTTTACACAATTATTACACGTATATTGTACTGATAAATTTACTTTCTTTTAATTTTTGAACACATTTTCACTGCTAGAAGATTTTAATGCTAAATTTGCAGCAAAGTAGGAAACTAAGCCTTAAAAAATGTCGTTTTTTTAATCATAGCAGATAACATTATTGGGATCAATTGGGATGTAACGCCAACTTCGGCCTCACGTCTATCAAGCCTGTAGTTAATCCATAAATAACGTATAATTAAAATCTGATGAGATCTCAATCATGCGCGCGAGAAAAGCTTCTTGATGAAATAGTTAAAATTTATAATAGTTTGCATTTATTTTTTTAAATTATAAATTAGAAAGAATAAGAGCGTTGAAATGTGTATAAAATTCAGTCATTTTTGATGGGAAATCTGTTTCATTATTTGCTAAATTAACTATCCTTAGTTGATTTCCTAGTTCGATTTGGTTTGAATTTGTAATCGTGAGTTTTGCATAATATTTTGGTCAAGTTATTAATTTGTAA